TTCTCAAGCAGTCCTGAAAGCAGTAATGTGGTCAGCCAATATCTTAGTGATGGTTTCTCTATGCCCCATCCCCTTTTCTCCATCTATTTCTGATCCTCAATGGTCAGGCTCCACAGTTTCTGCCAATGAATGTCCATGAGGTGAGACCTGAGTGGGTCTTCCAGGAAGAATCTCCTAATGTTGGTCTAGTTGGATGTCCACCTAGGGTTCTCTCTTTCCACTGGAGAAGCCATAGGCCCATGAAGGCCCTCCTGGTGCAGCACTCTGCCAGATTGGGGAGGGGCAATATGGTCAGAATGTAGCTGAACCTCTTACCCTTCTAATGCAGTCCTTCTTGGTCTCTCTAGTTTAAGAGGGTGCATTTGAATCAACCCTAGGTCTGGGATTTTTATAATGGTGTCCTTTCTATGGATAGTTGTGAGGGCGAACTGAAGTTGAGAATGACTCATCCCTACCATCTTGATTGGGAAACTTTCCTGTTCTAATTTCTAACCTTTTTGTTTGTGCCATGAACCCGTTATACCAGTTTATAGGTCCATTTTCCATAGAGAATAAATATATAGAAATAAAAAACAATTATACTGAAATATATATCAACATATTAAAAAATAAGTTGTGATAATCATGGATGTGCTCCTTGATTAAAGCATTCAAAAATAAGATCTAGTGGCAGCTTTAATAACTAGTATAATTTTGAAGTAGTAATGACTACAAACAATATTTCAAGATATCTACCACAAATTTATGTGATATGAAAATATTTATTATTTCTATTAGTGACAAAGTTAGAGATACTGTTAATATTTCTTTGGCATATTGCCCACATTGTTAATCAAATGAAATGTGAAATATCAGTTACAAGTTAAAGAAAATAAGATGCAGTATTGTTCACATCCAAATTCAGGAGCCCTGGAATTTTCCCAACGAGTCCCCAAAGGGGGCTGTGAACCCCTGGTTAGCAATCCCTGCTTTACAAGTATCTTTGCAAGTTACTCTGCAACATTATTATACTACCGTCTCTGTTAACCATATTTTTTCTGCATATACTTTGTGAATATGACCACAAACTCCCTACCAACATGAATTTCCACAGCATTTAAGAATCATTTATAAGCACTAATGTTCCAAAATAGAGCATACTTTTATTTTTCCCTTAAGGTTTTAATTAACTTTTTGAAACTCTTAGTTTCATTTCTTTGTCAATGTTCTATATGTAAGTATGTCTACAAATATTTAATTTTTACCACTGATATCCTAAAAACACTAACTGGTCTTAGATTTTTCTCTCAATAGATCAAATTAAATTATCCTGAAGCAGATTTTCAAAGATGAAGTGACCCTACAAATCACCTAAATTTAGTGCACATTATTTGGAACTAATTCATAACTGCATCTATTAAAAGCTCCTCAATAATTTCAGGATATGATTACTTTTAAGTGTTTCTATGTGCTGTAAGTAGTTTCGGACATTTCAACTTCTTCCACATTGTAAACTCAGTTTCTAATTTAGACTTAGATATTTTTAAACAGAAGAGATATTAGTATTTTTATTTATTAATAACCTTAAAACTTGAGCTTGATCTTGCTAATTTTTATTTTATTTTACTAAGACATTTATCCTGCCAGACAACTAATAGAGTTTAGTTATCTGGCAGGAAAAGCCTATTGACCCACACTAGGAGAGAGAATACTGGTGTTAATTCCAGTCCCTGGAAAGTAATGTGTCCTTAATTGTTTTTTGTTGTTTTGTTGTTATGAGGAGACAACCACGCCGCATGAGCAACAAACTACATTTATGCATGGATGGAGCTGAGCACTGTAATCAACTAGAGCTTACAACAAAGTTAATCTGATGATACATATTTAATGTTGTGCATTATCGATGTGCTACATGGTAATTAGGCATAAATAGCAAACAGCTCCGATGAATGGCAAATTGATGTTACTTTTGCATCACTGAAGCCAATGTTTCTGGGATGGGATGGAGAAGGAGACACTGGTGATTATAATCTTTCTTCTTCCGGAGGGTGCGAGCACTCTTTTAGGTGCTGGAAACAAATAATTGTTTCAACCCAGGAACTTCCTGCTTACTGGCAGATACTGAGACATTTGATTGGTCTGGATAAACGCAACATTAACTTCAATAACCCAGGTGAGTTACTCACCAGTTGTGCCTTGTATGTATCCAAGCAGCGCAATTCCAATCATGCATACTAGTAAATTGTATGTTAAATTGTTTTCTACTACAATCATAACTAAGAAAATGAGTTTTGATTGAGAAGGCGAAGAAATGAGAGAAAATTATAGCGTATCTGGCATTGACTGAGAAAGAAAGCAGTCTGGGGTGGGGAAAGAAAAAAGCCTCAACAAAAAGCAGGCACAAAATTGGTGGGGCAAAGGATGCAAGGGGTAAAACATACAAATATGTGAAAACCAGTAAGAGAAGCTTAGAAAAGGGAAGGGAGATCTCGAAAAGAGGAAGAGACAAGACAGGCTCAGAGGAAGCCACATACAGCAAACGGGAAATGCATGGAAGCACAGGGTGTTACATGCACAAAAGGAGCCTGGCAGGGTCAGCACTCGGTGATTCTCCTTCACTCACCTTCCCAGAGCACAATCTAATAATAATGTGATTTCTTAAGCAGTTGTTTTGTCATGATGGATAAGATTAAGCCCACAAATTCAACAATTTAGACATAATTTACTACCATCTCTAAATTACAAGCAATTCATTCCTCCCAACCAGACCAGGATTACCCAATTTAAAGAGAGAAACAACTTTATATTATTTATGCTACAAAAATTCCAGGTAATACATTCCTATAGACACATGTTAAAAACTTGTTGCATAGTAAAGGGACACTTATAGCGATAATCTTTCTCTTCTTACATTCCCTAAAGAGGTGAAAACATGACTTAAAGTTTTTAATGTTGCCAGGAAATAAATACCTCAGTAGCATTCTGAATATTTACATTATTTATTTACCAAGGAATATGAAGGAAAAACTACACAGTTTTAATGGGTAGAATAAATGACTACATTGATTAATTCTTCAAAATATGGTTCTATTCTACTATACTTGGGTTATACAGAAAAAAACTAGAAAGCTTCAATTATTAAGTAGGAGTCAGATATTTGTGTGATTTTTTATAATTTAAATTTAAACTTCCAATTGAAAAAAAAGAGAGAACTAAGTCACATTTTGGCTTAATGCTGTCCTCATTCTGACTAGTGCACAGAGAATCATGGGACTAAGGAGGACAGGAGACATGTGCTCAGCTCTGCATTTCCACTCACAGAACTATTGACTTGCTAGTTGCACAGAGAAAAACATTTTTCTAAAAAGTTTACCACAAGGGGATTTTTACTGAGAATAATATACTGAGCGTGTCATGATAATGAAGAGCTTATATCAACTGACTAAACCTTAGTCCTATAGAAAGTGAACATATCTAAAACATATACATAAGGTAAACTGTAATGCAAGCCTCCACTACGAAATGAAGGAATGGTAAACAATAACATAAACAGAGCCACTTTAAAACAGAACCAGAGCTGCCATGTCAGAGAAACTGGCTTGTACACCTCATGCCTTAAATCTTCAGGATGTTAAAACAGGGCAAAATAACCTTTGGACTGGCTTAAGCAACCTTGTGCCTTGAAAAAGACCTGTTTGCAAAGATAATAAGAAAGCAATTATTATGACTACTGGACTGATGACTACTGGATTAACAAAATAGCCAAAACAACAAAAACAACAAAAAACACTGTTTAGAATTAACACCACTATGTTTGTTTGTTATCTGTATCAATAGAAATGCCTTCCTCTACTAATGCAATTATTCCCCTTCCCTTTTCTCATAAACACTCATTGCCTTTGTCTCCAAACTGGAACACCAGTTTAGCTTCTGCCTGAATCAGTGTTTCCAGAATAGCTATTCTTAGTGATCTCAAATAAATACTTGTTTGCCTCTCACTTTGAAAGGTCTTTTACTTTTAGGTTAACAGAAATTCCATATAGACACAACCTGCTCAAATGACAAACACTGGTTCTCTGAGATTTAGAGACAGTCTGAGGAAGAAATGGCACAATTATGACAGCATAAACTACCAGTCTTCTTAAAATCAAAGCAAATGGCATGGCTCAACAACAAACAAAAAACTACAATGACTGCCTTTCTACAGCAAATCTCTGCAGTGTTTCTTCCTAGAAATTAAAACAGATAGGAGCAGACATACCAAGAATTCTAATAATATGTTAGATTTCTAGAATAGAGCACTTTTTGGATGAAATCATCACAGTGGCCCTGTGATCTCAGATGACGATGCAGAGATAAAGCAAGCCAAACCTGTCTGCCCACAGGAGGCAGAATAATAGACTAGAAAGAGCAATGGTTTTAGAGTCATGACAGACAGACATTGTTCTGAAGCCCAGCTCTGCTATTTTGCCCCTTACCAGCTATGTGACATGTGGCAATCTCTCTAAGCCTCAGTTTTCTTATTTGGAAAATGAGGATGTTAGTACTGATCTCATAAGATTGCTGTAGGAGTCAATGAAATGAAATATATCAAATGCTTGGCACAATGCCCAGCATACGTTCAGTGCCGAACAAAGGATAACTTTACCACTTACCCACTGATCCTGAGCAAGCTATTTAACCTGTTGGCCTCTTCTCTTTTACATCCATAAAATGATAATAACGATATCTAATTAACAGAGTCACTATGATGATGACATACATGCAATTTTCTGTACAGTGAATAATAGGGAATGGTATATCTACATATGCATAAACTTAAAAACACACACACACGTTTAATAAATGGAAGAAATAGAAACAGAACCTAGATCTTCTATGTTAAGTCCTCTGACTATCAACACAGCTAGATATTGCTGATTGTATAATCCAAACATAGACGAATATTTCCTTACAACTAGAAGACAGCAACGTAGGAATACCTGTGAGAATGAATTATAAAAGGAAAATATGCAAGTTACCTGAATTAAGGCTTCAGTCAACAAGTCTTCATTGACCTCCAAAATAATGTTTTTTATATCTTCATATGGCATACGATATGATCCAAGGAAGATAGCTAAAATAAATTTGAGTTTATTAAAAACAGAACAGCATAAAATTTTTAACATCCTAATAAATACCTGATTCCCATTTCATAGACTTGCAACACAAAAATTCTCTAACTAATATTAATTTACAGAGTTATGAACAAACAAAAGTACCTCCCATTCAAAGTACTACACTACTACACTCATAAACACTCATTGCCTTTGTCTCCAAACTGGAACACCAGTTGAGCTTCTACAAGTAATAGGTAAAATGGCCTATTATCACAGGATCTAATGTTTACAGCTAACATATTTATATACAAAATAAAATTCATACTAATAGTGACAACTACATGTTTAGGCATTTTAGATTGAGCTGATACGAAATGACCCATGAAAAGTTAGAGATCTGATTTCAGGTGGGCCTTTTAATTCAAAGTAGAATTTAGTGTGGAGATTGTCAGATGCATCCAACACAGTACTTCTCAGGAATGACAATAAAGTAGCCAAATACAAGAAAAGCATATCAAGTTATATAGCATTTCTCCCATATAGGAAAAAATTAAAGGGTCTGAACATCATTGATCTCTGCATTCCTGCTGACATTCACATGCTATACTATTAGTTGCTTTATATGTTGAATCACGATTTCCCTTGTCAACATCTTCTTAATTAGTACATATTATGTCATATTGAAATAATTCAATAAATTATACCCAGAAAAGCTTATGCTTACTCAGAAAGTATTTTTCAATAATACATTATACTTTAGCCTCCACTACACATACCTTTGAAAGAACATTTGTTTGTTCTTATCACCAGAACAGGAATATATTCCTAAGAATTTTTTTTCATGTAAAGGTCCCTATGACTTCTCTGGCACTTAAAAAAAATCCGTACTGTCTAGGTACATTATTACCTAGATGTAAACACCAAGTGGGATCTCCATAATCAAAATTAATAATGTTGACAGATATCAACTAGCAATTAAGATAATACTGTTTTTTAAAAAACACACAACACTAAACATCCACTTTATAAAGAAAATGTACTACTGGCAGGTGTGTCTCAATTGGTGAGCACTGATCTGTGCACCAAGAGGTCAATTGTTAAATTCCTGGTCAGGGCACATGCCCAGGTTATGGGTTGGATTCCCAGTAGGGTGTGTTTCAGGAGGCAGGTGATCGATGTTTCTCTCTCTCTCTCTCTCTCTCTCTCTCTCTCTCTCTCTCTCTCTCTCTCTCCCTCTCTCTCTCCTTCACTCCCTTCCTCCCTGCTCCCTTCCTCTCTCTCTTAAAAAAATCAATGAAAACATATTTAGGAAAAAAAATGTACCATCAGATAAGCAGCATACACATTCACAACAGCTATTTGGAGACTGCTTTTCTGACAGCAACATTCCGGCTGACAGGAGAATGATGAGCTGTTTATTTCAATCGGATTCCCTATAGCACGTTCTTTAACAAAAGAAACTCCTATGGCATTTCTGTGCGCAATTAGAAATGCTTGATGTGTTGAAATTTCTCATGCAGAGTGTTTTAGTATTCTCAGAATATAAACACAGTCTACTGTGGTGACAAAGAATGCTAAATTCAATATAGAGGGGGAAATTTGTCAAAGTAAAACATAAGGCCTACTTAAATGAAGACGGCTTTAACTGTCCGGCTGCTTTAATGAAAGTATACTTAAGGGCTGACTGGTTTGTTAAAGGTTTGAAGGTTTAGTAACCAGTTTTAAAGTGCAGTGGTTAACCATTTATCTAGCTCCCATCACGATTACTTCAAACGTAAAGGAGGATCAGAAAAGGATTTGCCCAATGGGACTAGTGAATACGCTAAACCTGTCACTGCCAAGCCGAGGCAGAAGGAAAACAAAACCCTGTACAGCTCTGCCATAGGTCTCACTGGTCCTCTGACAAGGTCGAGTTATCAGCACTTTCCAAAACTTTATTATTCATACATTTCATCAAACCTGAGGAAGACTAAATTATGATGGCCTCCTATTCTGGCTGAACCACAAAAAGGAAAACCAAATCATGTTTACATAGAATTGTGTTTCTGGTAGATGCTAAACATGCCTGTTCGAAGAAGTTACAACTTTGTTTAAATCCATTCAATAACCACCCTCTCACCACCATCCTATACACGAAATAGCACATACACAGATTCTGGGCCGTTTTGGGATCCAAAACTCTCAGCTCTTTCACCTTCTTCTTGGTAGGTTGGGGCTTCTCCTCCAAAGCTTCTGCATTCTTTTGAACTGAAAGAAAAATGTTGATTCATAAACAATAATGGCACTAATACAAATGCACAGAATAACATAGTAAGGCATATTAACTACATTAATAAAGTGCATGCGAAAATCAATAAATGTGTTTATTTCATTAGTTCAAGGAAGAGGATAAACATAAAAATATAGACTTGTTTAGAGGTTTCCCAACAAATTAAATATCAGCACTTAAGCAGAAAAGATAAGCCAAATAGAACCAAAAATCAATTGCTGCTTCTTAACTAATGTGCAACATTAATTACTCCTTTACCAGGTACCTAGAAGCAGCACTGGAATTAAATATATAGTAAAATCTCCCTAATTTGGACTAATTGAGGAAAAAGACATGCATTTATCCTAACATGCTAAAATTTAGGCATCCCTTTAATTCAGTGAAATTGCTTTGAAATACCTAAGGTAACTTAACTGCTAACCAGGTTGCCATATAAAAATTCCTGCTGAGACTGCTCTGAAGAATAGATATGAACCATTTGCAACTTGCACAACAGTAGCACCCATTTGCTTAAACATAATTAACAAACCTCAGAGACAGGTCTTTTGAGTAAGTTAGCTCTGTCTCCCTCACCATTTTTTTAGTACTGTTTGCTTTCTTAGGACAGAACATATATTTATGCTGTATTCAAAATGTAATCCTGTAGTTCATAAAGAATTTAAATGACCTGAAACTGTGGAGTGGCAGTTCCAAGGAGTGGCTTTAGCTCCCGATTACCTCCGTCAGCCCTCCCCCAAATAAGCCATCCCAAAAACCAAAGTAAAAAGTAACCTGGCTGGCTGGCTGCTATGAAAATGAAGCTTTATGGCAGGCAAATCCCTAAACCGTCCAATACAGAAATTCAACAGCTACCATTGTATTCATTCATGTGTTACCAGTTTACTTATAATATAAAAATAAGTTTTTAGGTAATGGGGCCATAAAAAATGTGAGTAAAGTAAAGCCAACATTTTTGTTCGATCAAGTGAAGTGATATACTCTTGCCCCCAAACTCATGTTCCTAAATTTCATCACTCAATTATATAGTCATAATCCTGCTCTTTATTACTTTAAATTTTGAGGCAATAATTATCTTTAGTATTTTAAGTTATCTGACTTTAGTACAGAGATCACAAAGGAGTTACTGATTTTCATTAGAGGAAAAATCAACACAACCACAGTACATTTTGCTTAGCTATGTGTTCACAGATGTTAGCATCTGGAAAACATTCTAGACATATTACAGAAGGTATCAAAATACTATAGGTCCATTAAGACCAACTTTATTTTCATGGTGCAAAATACATGAAAATCAAATAACTTACTATAAAATAAATTATCTGAATAACTAAAGTCCTAACAGTTCTAAACTTTACTAGTATCACCAACCTAAAATGACTCAGAGTCTAAGGAGACTAGATAGTAATTACACTTAAAAATCATAATCTTTTTCAGAGATGACAAGTAATTTGCCATCTTTACTCAACACAATAGTTATTGCTAGTGCTGGAAGAAAAATGACTTTTTATAAAAATATTTTTATTGATTTTTTACAGAGAGGAAGCGAGAGGAATAGAGAGTTAGAAACATCAATGAGAGAGAAACATTGATCAGCTGCCTCCTGCACGCCCCCTACTGGGGATCAAGCCTGCAACCAAGGTACATGCCCTCGACCAGAATCAAACCCGGGACCCTTCAGTCCACAGCCTGATGCTCTATCCACTGAGCCAAACCAGTGAGGGCAAGAAAAATGACTTTTAATGTATTTCTTTTAAAATCATCACATATGTTCCTCAAATGATCTTTCTAAGAGCACAGTCTTTCCTATGCAATCATCAGCAATTTAGTTGATTCAATTTTCAAGCCACCCCCCAGCTTAAGACAACTATATAAAGAAATGACAGTCCAAGAGTCATTCCCTTTGTCAATAAAAAAATTATCTGAATCACACTGAAATTACTTCTAAAATCATTCATTAGTTTTAACGCAAAGTAATAGCCAAGACAACTGTCCTAATTTCTCGATATGTTTTAAACCCCATTACAGGAGACTGATTAAGCAAGTATATATAGGATAAAAATACTGTAGCATGAAGGATACATTAAGATTATCCTGCAAACTAACAGCCTCCTGATTATCCTAGACATACATAATGCTCATTTCGTATGCCTCATTTTTGCATTTTTCATTAAAATAGACTTCAACCTCTCTCCTCTTTAAATGAACAAGTTATTTAAAATTAAGATTAGATGTCTCAAATATCTAGAGTTCACAGTTTTGTTTTTTGAATCCTACTATATATCTCTTGTATTATGTATGCAATTTGGCTTCATCCTGGGTTCAAGAAATGGTAAGAATTCCATGAGTGGGTGCTACTGTTCTGAGAATTACTAGAGAAAAGCTAGTTTAAAATAGTCTCTTAATTAGACAGACTTTCACAAACAATAATGGTTCGTGATCAGTAGATATTGCCCAGTGGCTGTTACTGCCCTTTGCTTTCTTGTCTCTAAAAGCATCCTTAGCAATCACAACCACAGGCTTGGTAGAGAATTTGAAGAGAGGCAATGATACATAAAATTTACCTAACTAAGTATTAAAGGCTTCATATATTAAAATTTTCCTGCTTTCATAATGACTACAAAATGCCATTTGTCCTAATAGGCTTTTATTCCATATATGTTTCTAATGCTCACAAAACTTTAATATCCCATAACTTGATTAAAAAATGAACAATTACATAACTTGATTAAAATTTGAATGGTTATTTCTCCAAAGAAGATATACAAACCCCCATTAGATATAGGAAAATATGTTCAACATCACTAATCATGAGGAAAATGCAAATCAAAATTACAATATCACCTCACATCTATTAGGATGGCTATTATTTAAAAATAGATGTGTTAGTGAGGATGCGGAGAAATTGAAACCTGTGCACATTGTTGGTAGGAATATAAAATGGTGCAGCCTTTCTAGAAAAAAGTATGACAATTCCTCAAATAATGAAAGATAGTGGTACCATATGACCCAGCAATCAATTCTGGGTACATATCCAAAAAAACTGAAATCAGGATCTCAAAGAAATATCTGCATTCCCATGTTTACTGCAGCATTATTCACAATAGCCAAGATATGGAAACAACCTATATGTCCATTAAGGAATGAATGAATAAAGAAAAGGTGACACACACACACACAAAATGGAATATTATTTGGCCTTTATGAATAAGGAAATCCCACCTATGAACCTAGAATACATGTTAACTGTAATAAGTGAACCACAAAAGGATCAATGCTTATATAAGTAATCTAAATGCTCTATGTAAATGCTTTAAATTACTTATATTAGCAATCTAAAATGTAAAACTCATGAAAATAAAGAGTAGAATGGTGGTTGCCAGGGGTTGGAGGATGGAGAAATAGAGAGCTGCTGTTCAAATGGAATAAAGTTTCAGTTATATAAGATGAATAAGTTCTAGAGATCTGCAGCACAATATTGTATCTACAGTCTACAATACTATACTGTGCACTTAAAAATTGTTAAGAAGGTATACCTCTGATTAAATGTGCATATAACAATAAAATATAAATTATTTAAAAACTTAAAATAAATTATAGAGATTCTATAATTATTTGAAATTATTTTGATGTGACTGAAGAGATTTTAAACTTTAACACATAAACTCAAGAACTGATTTAGTCATCAATGGCTCTATGGTCTGCAGGCCCAAAATGAGACCTCCAGTCAAATGCAATCTCTCACTGAGCATAAGAAAAGCCATATAGCCATTATGTTTGAATCCAATGGATTGAATTAATTTGGGTTCATAAATTGGCACAGCTAACTGACCAACAATACTGAAACATTATAAAATACTGTCTGTAGGAAGATAATGATATAATAATAAAGCATTTGTATTATTATTAAAGATATGCTAACATCAAGATACTCATTATCTAAGGTAAAATGCCCACTGAGCATTATTATATTTCCTTTAATTCATGGATTTTTACATGCAACTGTAGTATAAATTTACTCCTTTACAACTGAGGGATTTTCATCAGCATAAATAAAGTAAACATGATTATATTCTTTCCCCAATCAAATTTAGGCAATGTTCTGAAATTTCCTATTAATTTCCACTATCCCAGTGGATACATAGAACATGTGACAAAAATGTATAATTTGTAGCAAATATTAAGATATTAGAAATGGGCAACATTGAATGATTTGCACAGTGATAACTAATCGTAAATCATAATACAAATTTTATAACTATTTTAATTTATTTAAAAATTCCAGTAAGAAAGATTGATTGCTAAAGTCAGCATACTAGTCATTCTTTCATTTATTCATTCCTTCACCAGCAAATACTTGTCACCTTCACAATGTGTTAGCCTAGCATGAGTGTACAATTGTACACAAGACTGAAATATCTACTCATACTCTTAAATACATGGTTATATGTAAACTACTAATTATGGCAGTATCTCCAAAAGATATTTAGCATTCATAGTTTTCTTATCAATAACAATATAGCTTAAATTAATACATACATATCACTAATAAAATTTCTTCTTGCTGTTGATAGCCACAGTTCCACATTAGAGAATATTGCATCTCTTAATCAGCATCATCTGATGTGTCACATCATATTATAAGGATTATGTGGAGAAGTGGCACTTTCTATTAAGTGTACTATATATAAAGCCAGGGTAAATAATGCTAACAGTAGTGTCAAAACCATACTAAAAATATATGTAAGTTCATGTACATATATATCTATAATCAATAAGTAAATGCCCAACTGCTGTTTTACATATATCACATAAATATAGGGATTGTGATCTCCCTGCATAAATACATATTTTATCCATATGTATACAATTCCAGAAGTGATTCTAATTATATTCTATACTCTAATATTGTTTTCCTGTATGAGTTGAAATAGGTGTTATTTTAACTCAATTAATAAGTCAATGTTAAAATGAGTGCAAA